TAATTCGGTTTTCGAAAACTTTTCCAATCCCCGATTAATTGTGAACCCGACCTGCCGTTACGCTATTATTCAGGTTTTTCAAACTACAGGCCGTAGATTTTGCTCGTACGAAAAAGCATATATTTCTCTATAGTATTAAGAGAAGACCATATAGAGTTCATAAAATTTAGCAGTGCATTTGAGCCACACCGTAAACTTTACAAGCAACATAAGTAAATGCAGAGACACGATGTTATATGAACAAGCATTTAACAGTATTAAAACACCTCATAATTAAGAATATAAAACTCAATTATACACTTTCGTCAAGTATTACATTTGACGAAAACGTTATTTTCGACCGAACGAGTAAAAGAATCAATATTTTTATGCACGTTTTCCATGAAATATAATTTAATTTTTAGAAGCATCGAAAATCAATGAAAAAAGTCCATGCCACCTAAATAGCCATTTGTACATAGTGTGGTTTTTGCATGTGACCGGAAAGAGGTTCGTTCGAATGCCGGCATCTTGAGGTAACTGATTTATTATTGAATTATGCTGCACGGCGATTAATTGTAAAACCCGTCTTAACTGGCCTTTTAGAAACGAATACTTTTTCCAGAATTTCGATTAACATTTGGTGAGTCAGCACACTGACCGTATGTGAAGCATTCTTTGAAGGTATTTATGGCTTATTTGCTAACATAAATTCATTGCCACTGCACAGGATTCGGCAGTTTATACACTTTATCACAGTAAAAACCTCTTTTAGGCATTGTTTATCCTCACAGTTAATTTGTCCCGAGTACGCCCGGCTACATATTACACGTTTGACTCTAACATGATATTAGTCACATGGGCCGTATTTCCATTTGATTGGCCGCTTTATCATCCTATGGGTTACTGCTCGTTTCCGCTGCCTCTGGGATGTGCGTTAACCTGATTGGTCCGCTTATAATTCCTTTGACGCACGTCCGGGTGAAGCAGTTCGCCCTTCATTAAAGCCGCTACGTGCCTGAAGACAATACCTCCGTGGCTATCTTCTGTTTCCCTTTTGTCCCATAAAAGCATGCGGATGAAACTGTTCCTTCAAGTTCCCGAAAACATGGAAACATTTTTGCCAAGTTTTGCTGATATAAAAACTGGTTATACGCCAACGCAGGCGATGGAGACTCCATTTAAAGACTGTTCTCGACTAGAGAATCTGGACACTCCAACCCCTCTGAAACACACAGACTTTTTTGCGTATCTCGGACATGCTGATAGCGGTCATTCATCATGTAAGCGATTGTGCTGAGATTATGTTTAATTTCTACTGACCGAAAACATTCTCGTTGCTTCATACGATTGGTATACTTTTTTCTGACACCCTTCTAGTTTCTCTTGATTAAAAGGCAACAAAATATGTACATGAAATATTGAGAGAATCGCGTATAAAAATATTTTGAAATAGGTTGTAAGAATAAGTCCTCTTAACAGATAACGCAGTGCATATGGGTGGCGTATCCTGATACATCGAGGGGGTACTACATAGTTCCTATGAGTAAGTTAGAACCAAACACCGAGTGGTATTTAAAGGAAGTTCCATTTTTATGACTGAATTGTAATATCTATGTGATTCTCAAACCGCTTCACGTTTTTCTCCCCGGAGCTCAGCCGATTTTTTAAATCTATTTGTCTGCGCAGGTTAAAGCGCAGCTATTATCTTGAGTTCCACTTACTGGTAGGACAATGCTTCACTGATTACAAAGCTTCTTAAAAGATGGTCGTAGAATAATAAGCCCCGGTTAAGAAGATCATCAAACAATTAATGCAGGAGGAAGACCTTCCTGATTTTCTATACATACTTAAGAGAAGCAGTCTACTTTTCATCATTTCCATGATTAAAAACGTTTTATACAACTTAACTTATTTCAAAAATACCAAGTCCAGATTGCCAGTGGCTAAAACCGCATTATTTTGCATAAAATTACTAATTGTGAGTCCGAAAAATTCACTCTTGCAAAATCGTTATTGTAAGGAAGAGAACGATACGCTAATGGGCTATCCATCACCCTGTGCATCACTCCTCACGGTTAAAATGAAATGTGGGATACAAGAAATATTTCAATTTAGGAAATGTTTTGCCCCGTACGGTAAATCCTTTCATCTTGCTGGAGAATGCAGAGAATCTTAAAACGCCCCATCGGTAACTGTGTGCAGATGAAGCGTGAGGAGTAAACAATATAAACATTTGGCATACATGTCGACTGTTAGGATTTTAAAACATATTTAGAGAGACCCCTGGGAACCGTGGTCAGCCACGTACTTCCAAAACAGGGCAAAATATAACGGCATGGTGTTCATTACTGTACTTATCGTTAAGAAATTTCAAATTTGGGCTTAAACATTATAAGCGTATAGTTTCTCACTATTATACAGGGGCGTTTTCGCAACACGTCGAAGTATTGTCCGCATTTTATATTTTTAGAGCAAACAACTTAGACAGTAGGTATTGACTTATTGTGTTATTTTAAGCTCATCATCAACGATACAACGGTGGCGATATCTTTTTTCGACAATAGCCTACGACAACGTTTTCAGTTCTGCAAAAGGCTTTTCTTTCGTCTCACTTGGGTATCTAGGCCCCTTCTAGACTAAGTGTGTGGTACTTTGTTTTTTAAGAAATTTGCGATAAAATTTCGAGTATGGTCAGAAATAAAGGCAGATAGATATGAGGTACAACGAAAGTCTCAAACATTTATCTGTACGCGTATCTCCGAGAAACAGGACTCTTCTAAAAAATAATCTGGAGTTATGAAAGTTCACATGGCAGTATTCGAAAGAATAGTTCGTGAGCATGCGTTCACTTTTGATAAGTTCTTACCAATCTAGTACATTTATATGGGAACGGAGTCAAAAGAAACATGTCAGTGATAAGGGGAATCGGTTAAACTTCGTCCTAAGACACAAATGTCGGGCGAAAATATGGGGGATGTAGTGAAAGTCGTGTCCCTCCCATTTTCTTTCACTCCGCTTGTGTCTTAAGTCAAACTTTAATCGACTACTCTAATTCCTGAAATGTTTTACTTGATCCGGTTCTCATATAAATGAACTGGCGCGAATTTATCAAGAACAAACCTGTGCTCATTAAATAGTCTTTCAAAGTAGTTTTTCATATGTGTCATTGTAGACCAACCCTTACGAAAAAATGGCTAGACTATTTTAAATATATCTCCTACCAGAATATTTGACTCAAATGTGATTGAAATATAATCTCCAGATCAATCATACGCAATTTCATAAAAATCATTAGCGGTGCACCATTTATTAATCTGAGTAGGCCACTGTTATGACATGTATTGCCACCTGTGCATCATTATTGCCTCAATGATTCTGGGTACCTAAATTAAGTCCGTCATCGTTTAAGAAATGCTTACACAGAAGATTTTTATACTCATTTCGCAGGAAGATGCATCCTGTTCAGATTTCCAACTTAAATGTTGAGACGTTTTGCCTTCGAAAATCTACTAATCCTTGTAGATACTTAAGCCCAATATGGTGAAGGACCCAACTGTATTTGCAACGTTCTGTTCTTTAAAGCAAAATAAGATAACTCCTGGAATATCTTCTTCCGTCTATGAAATGCTTGGAGATTATAGATCGGAACATTAATGTATGCGCATACTCTGAGCCACAAGGTTTTAGCACAGTCTGCAGCATTTTCCCAATTGCAAGCTTCTTATGTCAAACAACAGCTTTTATTTAGCTACTTAACTTTAAACAACTGGACTACAAATCGATTTTAAGAGGAATTTTTATGCACCCTGTCGAAGGAGTATTATTATCTTTGAGCGTACATCAAAATTCAACGAGCCGACAGCACATTATTGAAACTGGTTTTTCTCGAATGCAATTTGTGCGGTTGGACGGAAGTATTTCAAACCAAAGATCTTGTCTGCATTCGTTTGAGGTTATGCGCCATGCTAATCAGTACGGAAGCCGCCGTTAAAAATTTCTTTCTATTCTCAGGACTATTGAAATTTTTGCTCAATTCATTTTCAGTTTTATCGGATTGAATGCGTCTTAGGGTAATTTTGTCAGAACGAAAATAATTAATACTATATGAGAAACATTTTCTTTTCCAAAGTAAAATTAAATAGGTCTTTTGCGGAAGATATAGCTACAAATGTCAGGGGAGACATTTAAATATTTACTCAATTTATTTGCTTTCTGCTACCGGATAATAACTTGCTACTTACTCTACCATATGCTCTCCCTTCTGAAAGTCTGTTTTACAGCAAGCACAAGGACTAACTTATCTCTTAAAGTATCAGGAAATCCTCACTGAACCGCCCTCACTGGTGTGTGCACCACCAAATCCATTGCCTTTGACCTGAGCATGTCTTTTGGGTATAGTTATAGGAGTTTTGACGGATAGTAGACTTCAGAGATCTACTTAGGATAAAAACTAAATTAAGTTATGCGTAGTGCTAACTTCTGACTCTGAAGATTGCTTAAGCGATCTTGACAACACACTAGCGTAAACCCGTGAGGTCAACAACTTTTCAGGCTTATCATAAGTTAAGGATAGTGAATGGGCATTTAATTGGAATTTATATATATATATATATATAAATGGGGTGTGGTGGTATGTCTAGATGCGGGTCTGGTCATGCTAACCAGCTTCGCCACTCCCGCCTCCGGTCCTCCTAACTATGTCCGGCCCAGGTGGGAAGGATAGAGTGCGGTAGATGCTGGGCAAGTCTACTACCACTATAAAGGTTCGAACTGACATATACGTGAATGTAAACTTCAGTGTATACTTGATGTCTGTGTGCTTACGCATAACGCGCACAGGAAACTATATGGTACATCATGAACCTGTTTTTTATTTCAGCTACATCCGCAGCCACGACACCCATTCAGCAGCGGTCGCAGCAAGCGGATCTTCTTGTATCTAACATAAAGACAGAAGAATCAGTCTGCCAAGAACCCAGACCCCTTCTGATTTATGATCAGTCAACCGCCGGAAGTGAGGCTAGACCTTTTACTCTGTCTACCCAATATCAAATGCCGACGTACTATGCGCACGCGCCACAAGATGCATGTTGCAGTCTGCGACCAAGCCAGTCTTATCCACGACAGGTAATTGGTGAGGGCATAGCCCACTACGAGCTCTCTGTCCCCATGCAGATCGAGTCGGGCTCCAGCTTTACGCCTAGTGCAGCTCCGCCCGTTCCCTCGGGTTCCAGCGCCGTCTACACGCACCTCCAGCCAGTCCGCCTGACCGTCAGCGTGGAACCTTGTGCGCTGGAGCATGGCAGCGGCACTCTCTTCGAAGCAACAAATAATCCCCGGCGCTACAGCATGCCGCAAGCCCTCTCCATGTATGAGGAACCGCAGTCATTACGGCACCCCTCACCCATACAGCCCGCACCAGCACAGTTCAGTGGATGTAGTACGCCTCTATTCAGCTCACCCGTGAAGCCGGACCAGGCTGCAAGTAGGGAAAGCAGACCTGTGGACACATTTGTCGATCCTACCTCCGTTAGTGGCGCTTGTGGCCCGTCCAGTAGCAGGACTAGAATAGAGCCCGCAACCTTGAAAGAAAAGCAATTTCTCTGCAATATCGGGTCTTGTGAAAAGCGCTTTGCCCGTGTGGATGAGTTAAAACGACACCAGAGAACACACAGTGACTATCGTCCCTACTGCTGTGACACTTGCAACAAAGCTTTCACTCGAAGTGACCACTTGATCACGCACAGACGTACGCATACGGGAGAGAAACCCTATCAGTGTCCACACTGTGACCGACGCTTTGCCCGTTCTGACGAACGTTCTAGGCATATAAAGACACACACGAACCCTAGGTTCCAGCAGGGTCGGGGAAGACGGCTTGGTGGAGTGAGTGGAGCCTCCAGGCAAAGGCAGCCCCCAAATCCCCAGCAGCAGCAACAACACCAGCAGCAGCAGCAAACACCGAAAGGGGATCCAACAGATGAAGGAGGCTGTGGATCCAGCACCCCTTACTCTCACAGTTGACCTTTTATTTTTCGTCTCCTTCTTAGGCACCCGTAACAAACTAAGAAATTGATGAAGGAAAGAAGAATTCAATTAGGCTTCCATTATGCGGTCAGATATGTACTTATCTTCAGTCTGGACTTAGCGATAGTCAATATCTGTCTTCGATCAAAATGGACCGTATGCCATCTAAAAACCGGATAGAAGACTTTAGGTATCTTATTCTTCTGTTTTTTTAAGCTGTTATTTTTCCTAAATCTGCACTCAGCTTTTCTGACAGGGTCAGACAAAGCAAACTGGCTTTATTTGCAGTCGTGCATTATAATTTCTGCTCCCCAGGGGTTCGGCTCTTCCAGGATTTCGGCAGCTGGTTATGTCGAGCCTCCTGGTTCAGCCATCTCGAGATTTATTTTTGTCATACCTATACTCAGAAAACATGATAATTGAAAGGCTGAGCCAAGAAAGATTTCCTTCCCTACTTTTGTTACTTGAAGACTGACAGAGTCGGGATGACTGATTTATTTTCGAAACATAATTCGCTACTATCTATGTACCTGTTATCTATGGATTTTGTGAATCAAACTTTTAAAAATGCTTTACTTTTTGCTTCTTTGAGGGAAAATTGCGAGGTTGAGAGTATTGTAGAAACTGGTAAATCATATTTTGGGTGTAGAGAGTGGGTAGATAGCATTGCAAACAACAAACATATCAATGACTGCAGAAGAGATAAATTAGTCTCCGATCGTCAATGAAGTACTTTGGGCACTATTTCAGCACATGCTACCTACGAAAATAATGGACCTTCTCAGAATCACAGCGTCCACTAAACTCGGATAGGATGTTGCGTTGATTAATACACTTGAACGGGGTGAGTGTTTGGGCCACTAATGACCCATGAGACTCGTTTCTTTTAAAAAAAATACTCCCCAGATATATTAATTTAAAGAATTCGGGGTTCCGTGAGTGCTGAAAGTCTATAAAGATTAATCATTTTTTCCTAATATGTTCTCAGATTAGGGAATTTTTTTCAGGAGGTGTTGCGATTATAGTCAGCAGGAAACACAGTTTCATGTCACTTCCTACATCGTACGCACTTGACCTTCGACTTATTACCTTCAAAAATGTCATTATTGATTAAAATAGAAAAAAAAGCCGATGAAAATTAGGTCGATATATATGAATATACGTACATATCTGACACCTATAAACAGTTGGCCCATTTTCCATATAAAAGTCCTAAACGCATAATTTCTTGCATGCACTTACGAACACGTCGCATTCTTTAAACAATGTCCTGAAATTCAAAGAACATCCTCCTGCGAATTATTTTTCGGAACGTCACCTGTACTGCAGCAATTTCTTTTGGTCTTCAAACTACACGGCACCTAGTCCCTCTAAACCAAATTAACGTCTTTGTATAAAGTAACCCGTTGGTTTTCGCAGAAAAGTGCAATAGATATTAGTGGTTTTGACCGGCATAAGTAAACCTGAGAACAATGGGTTGATGTAAATCACTATCATCAAAGATGTTTCAAGAACGAATTACCCCATAAAAAATGCAATTAATCAAAGTCCTGATTTCTCTGTTGGTAACTTAGGTATACAGCTCTCGATTAATTTTACGGAATTTTAACCGGAATGATACATCTGCAATGGGAGGGATTAATTAAATTAGGTTACAATACTGAGCATTGCACAGCACAAGTCCAAGGATGCCGACTTTTGAATGTACTTGTTCTCAATCGCCTGCAAAAGCTACACTCAGTGAAAACCCCTATTTAGATAGTACAGAGCGTTTCCACTAATTTTTGACGCCCTTGAAATAATAAGATATATTTTACAGACTGTATGACCAGAAATATCATTTATCTTAGTCCTTTGTTAGCAAATCACGCCTCATTTCAATTTAACACCCGAAAAAATAGGAACCATTCGGTCTCAAAAGTTTTTAATTGTGGAATTGTTCTATGCCGTGACATGCCCATACAGCTAGTCTCCTATCTGTCTGTTTAGTAATGCTCCTTATGAAGTGTATAGCGTAATCCCTACTCGCTGCAGCATTTACGAACTCTGTTTGGCAGCTTCCTAATGAGATAGAGGAACGCACGATTTTCCATGGAAAGAGATCATACAGCATGTAGACTCTAAACCATAAACGCAAATGCGACTGCAGGTCGGGTTCAAGATAAGTCGCAAAAGAAAGACCCTTTTAAAAACCTAGGCATGGTCTTTTGTAAGTACAATGTCTAAAAATACTTGACTTGCGGCTTTTTAATTTGCTCAGAAATTAATCGTTACTCAGTCGCTAAGAGACTTAAAGACTCAAGCTGAAATTCGGCATGATATTTGGCCCAAGGTCCATCAACCACAGCGAAATAATCGTGTGATATTCCTAAAGCGTCAAACCAGCAGTCAGTAT